ATATATTTTTCATATATTACACTTAATGGTAATTTTTGTCTTGCTTATTCCTCGTTAATTTGAGCAGAAAGACTCCTTCAGCCACATCACTTCTTTCTTCCCATGTCAGCTTAACGCTCACAATGATTTTTCTTTGAAAGGAGTTGAAAAAAATCTAATTTTTTTTTTTTTTTTTTTTTGTCTTTTTATCGGTGCCAGGGATCGAACTCATGATTGCCTGCTAGCAAGGCAGGTGCTTATGTGGCTGAGCTAAATCCCCAGCCCCCAAAATCTAATTTTTAACCCAAGTTGGAATAGTATAAACTTTAAAAACTCAAACATTGACAATATATATTCAATGTCAGGTAGTGTTACATTCTCTAAATCTTATTTCATATTCATATAAAATAGGTACAATCTTTTTCCTCATTTTGCTGATGAAGTTACAAAGCACAGAAAGGTTAAGCAATTTTTCCACATTCACACAGGAAACAGGAAACTGTAGACTGACACACAGATCACTTCCCTGTATTTCATGCTCTTATATTACTATCATGAAGACTTTCTGGATTATTGAACAATTTAGCTCATCCAAATCCATTGCTTCCAATCTTTGGAGTGAAAAGATTCATTCCTGCAGGTTTATGTGTTAGTACCTATGACACTCACCCAGCTTTTGTACCTTTTTAAAATTAAAAATTGCAAATTTAAAAATCTGGTATTTAAGACTGAGGATGCAGGGGCTGGGGATTTAGCTCAGCGGCATAAGCGCCTGCCTTGCAAGCAGGCAGTCATGAGTTCGATCCCTGGTACCGATAAAAAAAAAAAAAAAAAAAAAAAAAAAAAAAAAAAAAAAAAGACGGAGGATGCAGCTCTGTTAGTAGAGCACTTGACTTGCTTGTGTGAGACTCCAGGAGACAGCTGCTGAATTACCAATAAAGGCTTTTACTAGACTCAGGATGTCTGTGTACAGTTAGAAAGTAAAAATGCTAACAAGAAAAATGAAGAGAATGATAATACTCAGTACAGCACAGATGGCTATTTTGATAGATGTCAGGGAAACTTTGCTGTCAGATTTTTCATAATCTTTACGAGGCTTTATTCTGATTTCACAGAGATACTTATATACTAAAAAAGACCAATATTAGTAGGGAAGGAGGTTTTACTCTGACTTTCAATAGGTTCGGGGGAAATTGTGGAAGTGTGGAACCTATTCCATTGGGATAGATCTTTAATTTGGCATCAGTTGAATAGAAGTTTTAGAGTAAAGAAGAAGAGTTTTCTGATTTTATTTATTTATATATTACGAAAAAAAGATAGCCACCCTGAGTTTCAGCTTCCTTAAACCAGAACTTCATGTGACAATTGCCCGAGAAATCTTCCCAAGGAAAAAATCCTTCCAATACAATTTCCAACTAAAAATTTTAAAGAAGGCTATTACAATGTGTTGAAATAATGAGAAATGCATTTTGAGGCTAAGACTTTGTGTAATTCAACTTGTAGAGTTCAACATTTTGCAAGCTAAAGCAACAAAAAATTAGAGTTTTTCAACTCTATCCCATAGAAATAACTGAAAAATAACAAATGATGGATAAGCTTTTTATCCTTAATATTTAATGAATATATGCAAATATGAAAAATATTTTCCAATTATTTATTGTTTTGCTACCTGTTAGCAAAAATTGCTCTGACAGTTTCATTCATAGATTATTTTTACTTCCATCTGTTACTTTAATAAAAAAATTTAAAATCCTTCCCCATATCTTTGGCTTTCAATTTAGAATTTACAAGTACTGTAAACAAGTAGTAAAAACCTATTTATTAAAATTTATGACACAAGCTTTTGTATGCATCTGACCTTCAAGGTTATGTGAAAAGGGTCCAGTGAATTCCTTTTTAAATTAAGTTGATAAGAAATAAAAATGTCTAGAGACCGATTTGGGCCAAGTCACCGGAATTTCTGATTTGATAATGTTCTTTTGAAGAATGAACGCTGGGGAGATACACATTTAAATGAGGAGTAGGTGGTCAGCTAGAGGGATGGGGGTAGGTGGAGTAGAAGATCTACAAAAAGAGACCATGGTGCTCTACCATGCTGCTGGTGTTTTCAGATTAAGATGGGGGATTAAAGAATTTTACTCAGCAATTTGAGATGCTTTGTTAGAGACTGAGGAGATTTGAGCTGCTTTGTTCTCAAACCACATGTTAGTGAAAAAGCAAACAGGCACTTAATCCTGACAGACAACAGAACTTGACATCAATTTGCCCCTTGGGAGGTGACCAGGAGTTCTCTGTGACGGGTTAAAATGACCAGCTCTTGTTCTCATGGAGTCTAATACCAACATTCCGTCCCAACTTGTGCTTCTCAGCAGTGTGGCCATAACTTAGACAGTTGACCTGGCCAAGAATTTTGAGCTATTAGGGACTCTTAGAGTCTTTCTTAAAAACAAAATTAAAAGCCTTTTAAATGCAAATAGCCTACAAGGTGCCAAATATTTAAATAGATTTCAACCAGGTCCAATATTTTGGTCACTCAGTCTTGAAATGAAATATAGAAATGGTTGAGTTTTTTTTGCTTTTGAGAATAATGGATGGTTTCCTCTAACAATAAAATCACAGGGCAACATATCAATTTTGAAGCCTGTGTGGGTTTGTGAAATAAACATCAATTCTTATGTAGATATTTGAGGAAGGTTCTACTGAATAACCAGTTATATTTTAAGGTCATGTCCTTCAAAGTTACTGAAGTGGGACAAAAGCAAACAAAATGAATAGGAAAGAAACTAATGGCTTCTTGAATTGGATTTTATACAATAGTAAACTCGAGAGTACAGTTATGTAGTCTGGCACTTAGGCTGATAATTGTGATGTAAACTTTCCCATCTTGAGTTTGTGCCACCCTGAATACACTGACCTACAGTGTACTTTCAGAAGCCTATTGCTTTGCTCAATGTTGGCATGTATAAGGAAACTATTTCAAAAATCAGACTAGACGCAGCAAATTTATGAGGCATATTTTAAAGCAAATCTTCTTACATTTTAAAGATTTTCTGATTAAATATTTAGCTAATCAATAGCTTCTATACTGTGTTCTGATTCAAAAAGCATACTTTACAAAGTTTCCATCATAAGGAGTAGGTTGCCTTGCTTTTGTACTGTTTTAAGAAAAAACAAACATTTACGTGATCTGAAGAGAAATCAAAGTATATGTAAACACAACTCAAAATCAAGCCATTCTGTGCTCTTCCTAGATCTATCTCCCTGTCACACAACTTAGGAAAACTTGCTTCTTCCTACCTTTGCTATAGGTGTTTTTCTCCATCTTGCTATGAACTCAACCGTTGCTTCTTAAATAACCCTAAAGTGACTCAGATAATCTTCCTTTATTTAGGATTATTTAGGATTGCTGAAATCCTTTGTATACTTCAACAACACCATGCTTGTTTTCAAACAAGCATGCACATATGCTAGTAGAATATCTTTTTTCAGAACACTAACATCATTTCACATTTCCAAAAAGACACAGTTGTCTTTGAGTTTGGGACTTTTTTAGAGGGGAAACTGTCTTTGCATTGTCTACTAGAATAAACTTAAAAACATTTTGTATATGCTTAGTTGCCAATTCTCAAGGCCAGAGACTATTTCCAATATTTTGACTTTCCTTAATTACAACAAAAAGCAGTAGGGATATATCTGAATTCAAAATATTGTTAAGAATGATTTTATTCATTGTATTTAAAACAGTCTGTGTTAACCTTTAGATGACTTTCGAGTTGTGTTGTTGCTCTCTGCTTTTATGAAGGTTTATCAGGCATATTATAAGGATCAAATACAGGGTGAACTAAAATCAGAAACACAGTATTCATTCATTTAACTCCGGTACAGTAGAGCAAATTCAGGGTGACTCAAGGGACACAATGTCTTGTAAAACATATGTACTTAATATAAGGGTCATAAAACTTATTAAATTAAAAAGCTAGGTTAAAAATAGGGAGAAAATTTATGCTGCTGTCTAAAATAGCAATAATTTCCCCTTGGCCTTTCCCTTTCTGAGTAATATGGATCTGGTCAGAAGGGGAAAAAAAAAGTCAATTTATAAAATCTTCATTTTTTAGGACCAAATGCAAATCTCCTTTAAACGCACCACGCATTTTAACAGGCAAGTGATATGGCTGAAAACAGAATTGCAAGAAGATAAGATGCAAATCTCTGAAAAGTATACTTATATCCAGGTTTCAAGGGTATAGGTGGCATTAAAATTGAGCTCAAACAATAAATCCCATTTGTATTAGCAGGTGCCAAGAAAGAATCGCTCAAATAATATGAAAATTAGGAAAAAATCATAGGGCAGGAAGTGTAGCTAGGTGGTATCTTCCTTGCAAGTCCAAGGCCTTGAGTTTGAGCCCCATGACTCCAGGGAACAAAGATAAAAAAATAAAAAAAATATCTTTTAAGTTGAACTGGGTACAGAACAGCAGTGAAGTGCACAGGGGCATGAAATGTCAGAAATTCATCACTGTTTATTCAAAACACTGTGATTCTTCCCTGAACAAAATCTTTCAACCTTGTTCACGCAAAGTTTGGGTTGTAACAAAATCTATGGAAACCAGGAAATTCAAAGTCAAGACTGACCTGTGTGCCTCACGGTGGTGCCTGTGGACCACACTGATGTGGGAAATGACACATTCCCCTCACAAAAACCTTCAAGAAGTTTGAAAATAATGTGACCTTCACTTTTTTTTAGTACTTTTATGTCTTTTAAATATATTTAGCTAAAATAGATTGTTTGCTTGAAAATTTATTCTCAATGTAATTGGTATTTTCCTAGTTCATGTTCCTAGGTATATTGGCTTAGGAATTTGAAACCAAAACACATATAAGTTTTCTTTTTTCTACTGAATTCACACAAGTTTTGTTTAGAATTTTATCTTACATGAATTTTTAAGGCTGCTGAGAATGGTCATTTTGTCTGTTTATTCTCCTATCAATTCCTCTCATTTCTTTGGTGTTTTTTTATTATAGGAAATTAAGCCCTGCAGACCTCCCCTTGCCATGTGGTTTCTACAAAGTTTTATCAAAGGGAGACACTGGCCGGGGATGATGAGGAAGCCTGGACTATACAATCTCCCTGTGGCTTGTTTTGGAGGTGATGTTGACTCTCTCTGTGTTTTCTCTGAGGCCCCAAACTGTTCTCTTCTTGTCTTTCCAGTAGAGCATGTGGTGGCTTCTTGCTATTGCCAAACTCTTGGTGACTCACCATCCCTATCAAGTTTCAGTTCTTCTGTCACCTTTCTAACTAGTTTCCTTGTTTAATTTCCTGTTGAGCTATCTGATAGTGATTTCATTTTCCTACCTTGTCCCTGATTAAAGGGTCAGTTGCATTTTTTTCTGTGTGCTATTAAGTCCAAAGATAAAATATTATGTTGGAGTTGTTCACTAGGTTTTCTTTTTCCATTGGCCATTGGGTGGGTTTCTGGGTCATAAGTAGTCCTTTGGTGTTTGGTTCTCTTTCTAGAAAAAGAGAAGCCAGTAGGTTGGAAGATGAATTGAGGAAGGTGCACCCAAAGCATTTATAGAATGGAAATTTTGGGGATACAAGAAGAGTTGCCTCGAAGGAGCAGTGTGGATATACTGCTGACCTTGGTTAGTTCCATGAGCTAGGTAACAAGACCCTCTATGACCACGGGGGGAAACACTGCTAAAAACCACATTATCCATTTCCCTTTAATCCTTTATGTAAAAAAATCTGTAACTAAATAGACTGCTAGAATAGGCATAACTTCATCTAGACTAAGGTAGGAAATGCACACATACACACTCAGCAGTGCTGCTAACTTCATGGGCTGCTGTCTAGTATCAGTTTATCTGAAAGATCTCTAAATGCTGGGTGGGGAGAATAGAATGTGATGGGACCCCAAATCTCAGCCCAGATAGCTTTGCCATCCAATGTATAATCTTTAAGTTTGGCTTTTACTGTGTGAGAACTTTCTGCCTGGTTTGCCCGTATCAGGTGGGTCTGATCCAAACAACACCACAACCATCGTCAGTGGGCAGGATGTGGCGCTTGGTGGATGAGCCATTTTTGCTTGTAGCCTGAGCCTATGGGCAGCCTTTCATCCAACACACCCCTAGTGCTCTGAGCCCTGTGTTCACCAGGCTTTCGGCAGGGCTTGGGAAACATGAAAATATAAGGTTCCTTTTTAAAAGTTTTTCTTTTGAACCTGCCAATTTTATGAAATTTAAGCACCCTGTTCATTGTGTAATTATAGATGAAATATTAGAGAAGTGGGTTAATTATACGTCATGAATTCAAGCCCAATTAAAGTAGCATCTGTGGTGAATGTAAGGATATTTTCTTTAGCTAATAAGAAATACTTTCCAAACAACAGAAAAGAAAATCATTAAATTGGATATGCTGTAGAGATTATAAATATCCTATTAGCATATAAAATGAGGATTAACCTTATTTAACCACTACACACCAGATCATCAAAAGTTGTGTAGAACCCCTGTAATGTTGCTGTAATCCATTTTGCAAAACAAGAATAAAAATTCCACTATCAATAAATACACCTCACTGGTTGATATCCCCATCTAAATTAAACTAGTAGAGAACCCAAGTATTCTGTTAGTGGCTGAAGAAAATATCAAAGATACTTTTACCTACTCACGGCGATGTTATGGTTGATTCAGAGTTGCATCATCCTAGAAGCTAGAAAGGCACATTTCCCGGGCTAGGAAAATTAGCCTACTTCACAATAAATAAAATATGCAATGGATTTCAGCTACGGCCACAGTCATTAACTGATTACAAATACCAAAGGTTTTTTCCAAAGTGAAAATATTTGTGCTTGCGTCATAGTAACACTATTGCTTCCAGAATTGGCAGACTATGAATCCAGAGATATTTGTCTTTTAATCCCAGGAATAGGACGTTCCTTTGGAAGATACGCGGGACCATTATTTTGCAATAACCAGATCCGAGCAGAGCAACTTCTTTGGTTCGGCAACAACAAAGGGGTTTGGAACTCTCCAAATTCAAGTTTCAGCTTATTAAAAACATTGATTATATGCAGTAACAAAGAGTGCAAAATAGCAAAGTTGAAACAATTTTATACATTATGTCCAATAGATTGTGGTCATTTGCAGCTGAGGGATGAAACCAGTTAACAAAAATGAGTGATTCAAGAGAACATGTTAGTTAAAAACTGAGCGAATGAACTGAAATCAATCTTTTCCCATTTTTCTTTATTGCCTGTTTCTTTCCCTTTTCTCCTCTCTTTTTTCTTTCTCCTTTCTTTTCTCCTTCCCTTTCTCCCTTCCAAAGGGTTCTCATTTATATCCCTTCCAAAAAGTTGAAGGCTGTTTTCCTTTCCTTCTTTTGAAAATTATAGTTATGCATCCCACAAGTAAAAATTGATAAAGATTAAAATATAGCTATTGCAAATTCCTGCTTCTAATTTAATACATTTACTTTTTAAAGCAACATGTATTCCTCTTTTTTAGTGGAGTGCATGCTCTTTCTTTGCCTAGTCACTTCACTAGAAAACAAGTTTAGCCAAAATCTGAAAACTCAAATGAAATTTGAAAAACATTAAGAAAAAATGACAGGTAGCCAGCCTGGGGTGGGAGATTCAGACTGTCCACACCTACAGAGAGAGAGTGCATCCAGGAATCCATACTGATGGGGGAAATTTCTGTCTGGGAAGTGAGAATTAATGAATCATCAAGGGCATGAACTAAAATGTGACCTGATCACATTGGAAATTTATGTTTCGATATCTCAGTTCATAGGATGCAAGATGTGGGCTGTGCAGAATTAAACACAGGGTGCTCCTTATTTTGTCAAAGGGACTGAAGTTGCTGAGGCAAGAAACTTTTCTTTTGGTTAAGTGTCATTGCATACTGCTTAAATTTTGGTCCAGGTTCCTTTATTCTGAAAGCCTGTGTGTGTGTGTGTGTGTGTGTGTGTGTGTGTGTGTGTGTGTGTGTCTTTTATGATTTCTGTATTCTATGAGCAATATGATGTGAATACATTGTAATAACCATAATTTTTGCCCTTATTGAACAAGCCAACAGTTAAGGGTTCCACCTTTTATTTTTATTCTCTTTAAATTCAGTTAAAAGACATCCTTGCCTTTCAGGAGCCATATTCACACTTGAAGATCTAGCTGAATTAAAAAAGACAATCCTTTGCCTTTGAGTTTGGATGAGCTTGTAGATTTGCCATGACAATATCGCTTTAAACAGAGTTTTCCCCTTGCCTTTCAGTCTAGCTTGCATAGCAATTTAATCTTGCTTCAGAACTGTTACATTCTGGGTAAAAGGTTTGGTTGTGACATGGGATCATTTTGGCTTCAGAAAAGCTGTAAGACAGTACCTAGAAGGGAAAAAAAAAAAAGTCTTTATTGAGAAGATCAAAAGGATATAAAGGCAAAACTGTCTTGCACAGAAACAGAATTGGGGACCAGGTCTCCGGTGTTTTATTTGTATTTCCTCCCTGCTTCTAAGCTCCAAGAGTTTTTCCCTATTAGACAGAGGACTTTGTTAAACTGTAAAGGAGTATTACTCCAAGCACTCTGTGGAAATATATTCTCCCCCTTCCTCCCCCATAGCCCATACATTATTTCTGCTTAGTTATAGTGGCTCACATTTCCCGTAACTATCAGAGAGAAGTTAATTCAACTCACACCACATCACTTCACAATTGTGCAGCTCTCTTAATCAACCTTTGTATCAGCCACAAATGTGCAGTATGACCTAATTTGAAAATGTCTTAAAGTGCTGACTCAAACTGTTAGTGAATAAAGGCTAGTCATTACCATTATGACACTAATGTGATGCAAAATAAAATTGAGTTGCATCAGCTGAACATTAGTTTGCAAAAATATTAGCCATTGAATCCATTTTCTCTTCATATTTTATTTATACTGATACATGTACACATATATACATATGCATATATTTATTTTTTGTTTGTTTGGAACAGCTTTGCGGCAAAATTTTGAAGTGCAGAGGAAGGAAGCCAGGGTTTTAGCACTGGGAAAATTCCTAGATTAAAGGCAGATTGTACGTATATCATCATCTCCCCTTTATATAAGGAAGACATAGTACTGTTGAATTCTTATGAGAATATTTATACACACATAAGCAGGAACATATGAAAGTTATCAACTCTCTTTTTATTTTGGTGCCAGATTCTAAGATTTTTGACAGTTCCAGAACTACTTACTCTTTTGTATCACCCAAAAGTTATCTGTTTTTGTATTTTGGAATAACAAGGATTTGAGATTATTACTTTTATGGACTCTCTTTTCTACTCTTTCTTGCAAACATTTTTTTGAGATATAAATACTCTTAGTAAACTTTAGTCATTAATATATTTATGAACAAAAGAAAGTAGGACACAGAACTACAAATTATTTAGCTTCACCCCTACCGATCATAATTTATGGAATGCAACATAAATTGTATCTTTTTCTTACAAAATTCAGCTAGTTATGAGGAAAAACTCACATGCTTATTTAAAACTTCTGTGTCTTAGAGCTAGTATTGGTTTCAGTCTTTATGTTGGTAATTAGTAATTGAAAATAAATCAGAAGGGATCTTTATTAAATTAGAGAAATTATCTTCTGGCCAATTAGAACTTCTAACCTATGTCCCACTTTGAGTCTCTTGAATTCTGAAAATTCTGAACATAAAAGTGATACATTAGTGGTTAAATTGCCTCTGATTTTGTTAATAGGTCTAACAAATTAAGCACACAAGTATGTAGAAGACATGTTGTTCCTTAAATTTTTCAAAGACAAGACGTTTGGGCTATCAACCAATCAATTAACCTATTTTAGGTCGAGAGAGTATGTGTCATCAGAATGTATCACTTCAGAAGACCGGCTGAGAATACAAGCAAACAAAGATGCTGGCAATCTTAGATCATGTACTTTTTGGACAAACAAGCAAAGTCTTGCCCTAAGATGTGTAAACATTTTCTACTATGTCTTAGCATCCATATTTTAGTCTATTTTACATTATGTAGTAGATGGCTTACACTGGATTAATGCCTTAAGCTTTACTTCATGTTAGGACAATTCAGATTTCAAAAAATTGAGTAATTTCAAAACAGGCTTGCCAAACCCAACATTCAGGAGCAAGACTGTTCACTAGCACACACATAGGCACACTTTGGATTTACCTTGAAATGAGGAACACCTTTGTAGCTAATATATAATTGTTATTTTGGGGTTATAGGGGAGAAGTTATATGGGTGTGATTTCTGGAATGAATTGCCAACCTCTTTACAGTTCATCATTCTTAAATGATAGAATTAGAGCTGTACTCTTCTCAGAAAAATCCTTCCCCTAGCTTTTACTTTGTCCATGCCAGGACAAATTGTGTGCTAAGTTGGAATAATTCTGAGGTGCAAGACACCTCCAAGACTGTCCTTGGAATCCCAAGGAACTGACATCCCTCTCTGCAAGACAGGATAGAATGCCCCCTGCCCTGTTAATTGATGATTTACCGTGCTTTCCCTCCGGGCCACAACTGATGATCTGTAAGCTTGTTGAATTTTGAAGCAAATACTAAATATAATCAATATATAAAAATAAAAAAGAGAGAAAAAATGCAATGAAAATTTATGACCTTAACATTCCTTCAGGGTCAAGCAATTTATCAAATTCTCTCACTCTCTGGTTTCAATTACACAGCCATTGTGGAAGGAACTTATTTTAGCAGGTTCATTTGCCTCAGTAGGGAATACAGGACTTTGGCCTAATGCTTCACCTTTAGTGCAGGCCATCTGAGCCTTAGAACAAATACCAATCATCACTCTTTGGGAAAAAAGAATCTGCATCGGCCTGGCCTATTGGAATGGGGTTTCTGTCAAGGTAAATGGTTGTCGGCAATGACTGTGGTAGAGTGGCGATAAATCCCATTTTATTGCTGAAAAATTCCAGCTTCTCTCCATGCCTGACAGCTCCCCACATTCTCATACCCATTTGGGCAATTTCTGCACTATGTCCATCTGGTTCTCATTACCTCCCAACCTGCCTGTGTCTGCAACCAGAAAAAGTGCAGGTCAAAAAGGGTGGGGGGGGGGTAAAGCAAGGTGATGGACAAAACAGAAAGCAGAGGGTGGGCCTGGGGGTCGGGGCAGAGGTGGGAGCAACAGGGGTAGCTGGGACGCCAGCGAAGGCTCACGATGGTCACTAGAAGGGGCCACATAGATATATTAGGGAATGATCATGACGGGGCTGGAGCCAGGAAGCTAGAGGGAACTCAGACTCAAGCCTTAAAAAAGCACCTGTTGAGAGAGGTGCGAGAGAGAGAGAAGAAGAAGAAGAAGGTGGAGAGAGAGAGAGAGAGAGAGAGAGAGAGAGAGAGAGAGAGAGAGAGAAAGAGAGAGAGCCAGCAGCCAGGCCAGCCAGAATCAGAATCCAGGGTTGTTTTGTAAGTAATTGGAACCCACATACACAATTAGCAGTCTGCTAAACATAGAGATTAATTAATTATGGCTGCAGATGCAAGTTTGGCTCACCAATGTGATCCTTTTTGAAGTTACATTATATTTATGCTTCCAAAAAATTGGCTTCCTTCTCCAAAGCTGAAATCCTTTTGATCGTAATTATTCTTATTTAAAATTACTAGAAGCAGTTTTTCTATGATGATTCTTGGGGACAACATGAGAAACATACATAGCAGGTATCTGATAATAGGTATAAACAATAAGCTTGCTTAAATAATTGGACCAGACTAAATTAAACTAAGATAAGCCTAAATATAAAATTTACTTTTTATTATCATTATGCTTTTGATGGAACAAATGGGGCTACTATAATTAATTCTACAGAAAGATTGTGGAAAGTACGTTAGGATATAAATGATGAAGATCTGAGACTTTAAAAAAATTAGAATCAGAAGATGAATAGTTATCCGATGTTGAATTTTGAATGCAAATATCCTAAAACCAGGTACAATTGTGTATTTAGTGTTGGAGAACTGTGGCATTGTTGATTTGCTGAAATCTGTGTTAGATAGGTTTGGACAGTGAACATGTCCTAGTGTAGAAATTCTGTATCTCAGGGGTACTGAGGGCATTTCTGACATTTTCTACAATCAGACCCTGCAGGCTGATATACGTGTTTGTTTTTCTCACTGATTGAATTCTAATACCAAAATTATGTTAAATTTTAGTTGCTAAGTAAGGCTCTTTAGACAAAAAATACTGGCTTCTCATATTTGAGATTTAACTTCTAAATTTGCCACTCATGAATATTCAAAGACATCCCACAAAATGTCCCTGAAATTGTCAGTGAATATCACATCAACATTTAAATGTAGAAAAAATATTTATAGGAATTTTAAGTTAAAACATCAAAATAATTTGCATTGAGGTAAATTACAAATGATGAAAAATAGAAGCTTATTATTTGTAACCTTAGATGGATATTTTAAACCAATAAATACAACTCTCAAGCAGATAATTCCATATGGACATATTAAAAGGCATAAGTCTTTAGTAATGTCACATATCCATTAAAATAATCTTAATGTACGGCATTTCTAATTTGGAAAGTAATTTCAGGTTCTTAGCCAAGAAGAATCTTAACGGAACTTTTCTGGGCTGTTCATGTATCAGAGAAATGTGATCATTTAAACGCTAAAGGATGCTTGTTTCTTTTAATAGCATAGAGGAGAATTAATGGCCGAGGAGGAGGAGGGTGGGTGACAAGTTAACTTGACACTTGATAGCTGTTTGCTGGTAAGTGTGTGCCATAGATTGCAGTGTCCTATAGAAGGAGGAAATAAAGAAACTGGCACATTCACTTAGCTTTTAGGGAACTCCAGACACAGAAAAAAGTCATTGGAAGGCCCCTGAAATATTTACAAAACTATCCCTTTGGGTTCAACTTTTGTATATGTAAAACCCGAGATAACTACAAAAAGACTGGACCAACTTTGGCTGTAAGAAATATTTCGGCATTAAAATGGTTAATAGTATTATAGCTTCAAAAGAGCCTATTGGCTCACCGTCAAGGATACCCCGCAGTAGTTGTTAAACTCATCAGATGAAGCTAGCCTTCGCTGCTAGCCTTTAGATTTGTCTGCTCACAGTAAAAATACTATAATAAATCGGTAACATATGTTGCCAAGCAAAGAAAAGTGATATAAATAAAGAAACAAGGAGACCCAAACCAAGTTCAATGTGAAAAGAATTTAACTTTCAATCTGGTTGCTAGCTAAATACCATTTGAAAAGTAATTTGAAAGTGTTACTGTTATTTGCTTATATTCCTCCTGCTTTTCTTTTTTTTTCTCTTCAGATTGCATTCTTACCCAAATACTCTACGTGATTGCCTGCTTTGCGGCTTTGGGGTAAGTCCCAGTTTTCCACAACCTTAAGGAAAAAAAATGCATAACATAAAAGATGCCATAAAGACTTATGTGTCCTGATGTGTGGGTTTTGTGAAATATACATGCGCTTGTCGGGGAGGGGGGAGATAATGAAGTAAAGGGGCTTGTTTCTGTAAGGATCAAAATGTGTATGGAAAGTCTGCATATGCAAAAGAGGCTCCCATCAGGAAACCACCTCAGCAATGGAAATGACAAAGCTTGGAACACACAATCAATTATTTTCACTAGCATTTAAAATATAGAAAACAAAATCTGCTTTGGGAATTGACTGAATATTTTATTTTGCTTTTTTATTGAGACATCCTTTGAAAAATGGCATAATATAAATAGTTTCACAAAGCAACAGTATAATCAATCTCTAAACTAGAATATAAATCAAGGATTTCATTAACTGCTGGTAGCCAGTTTAAATTGTAGTCCTGTCCATAATGTCTATCTATCTATGTAAGTCCAAGTTATATTAAAAACCTTTAAATGGCTTTGTAATATCAGCTACATCTAGCTATTATAATAATTAATGGTACTGTTTTATAAATCAATACATGTATTCTTGATAAATTCATATCCAGTTAATGGTGTAATTTAAATAAAAAATTAATGTAATAAAGGACACACAGAAACAGGCAGGAAATCTTTAAAGGTTAAGAGCCAAATTTGTCTAAATTCATTTTTAACCTGTTTTGGAAAAGTTTGTACTTAAAGTCAGCTGAGATTTACCTTGTTTCTGTGTAAACGACTCTTGCAATTTCTGGGGTGGTATCTAGTATTGCATTTGTAAGGTATTTTCTTTTTTAACCATTAAGTTTTAATTACATAGCTGTGACACTATGGGATATTTTACAGCTATACAATTTTGTGGTTATTGAATATTCTTTAGAAAAATAGATTGGAACAAACTAAAACCTCACACCAATCATTTATTTTTAACATATGAGTCAAATGTAAGGGTTTTTTTTTTTTTTTAATATAATGAACTGTCTGTAAACCTCCAGCTATGTACACATTTTATTTAAGGGAAAAAGAACTGATTAGTTCAATAAATTTGTATGGGTAAAAGCCTAGCATTTCTCTGCGTTAGCCTACTAAATATTCCAGGAATTTTAGAAAGAAAAAAGAAATACATGGAAGAATTTGAAATGTATTTTCACTCTGCACAGCACTAAGAAACATTCCAAAGGAAGAAGAGTATATTATTGCTCTAATTTTAAAAATATACACACCAAAGTCATATTAAAGAATAACAAGATTTAGAAAAATAGCTGAAGATTGTATGTTACCCAAATACAATATCAAATCTTTCCAAATAAAATCTCCTTTCGCATATAAGGCATTTTACAAAGAAAGAAAAACTCTTTGAGAATTATGCAGACTGGTCTGCCCTGCCATCCTCCTGACATGGTGCAGGAATGTTCCTTTAATCCACTCAGCTTTTTCTGACATTTTTCTTAACATTGCTGAGCTTTATTTAGAGCAGCAAAGGGGATGTGTTCAGTTTCCTTTGACACTGATGGGTGTTTCAAAATGTTACACTAGAGACACAGGGGGGGAAAAAAAGGAAAAGCCAGGAAAAGATTTGCTCCCAGTTACTTCATCAATAGGGCTGCAGGAACAATTATTATTTGTTACAAGTTTACAGTTCAAATGAAGCTAAATTTTAAAGAAGGTTTTGTTTTCTTTTTTCTTTTCTTTCTTTTTTTTAAAGCTGGTGATTGGAAGAAGAAAGAAGATACACATTAGTGATACCATGTTAAAGTGCACTCCGGTTCTGGAACCTTTTAAAATGTATTGTGTTTTTAGGTGAAACCTGCAAAACCACTCCTAAGAGGCTTAATTTAGGTTTTAGAGGAAGAACATAAAAAAGACCAGGTTACAGCAACACATTGAAATATGGAGTACATTTTAAATATCTTCATTTAAAAACGTATGTTTATTTTCCCTCCTGGGATCACTAACGTGTGTCTCGACAGGGAAAGAAGAACGTGAGACATTCTTAAAAATTATTTGTTGAAGGGATCATATTCCAAGACAGGTTTGAGCGTTTTTATTACTGCAGATAACCTCTTAATTATGTCACTGCCTTCTACTTGTTAATCAAGGACATTCAACATAGTTAACTGTGGAGTGGTTGCCTTTAGAAGAATATATTATTATTAAGAATCAAATACACTTTATTTCTATCGTATGATCACAGGTACTGTAGGGTTTTAGCACTGGGAAAAACCTATTTATTTGCTATGTACATAACAACTAAGAAACAGTCTGGATGCCTGTAACAGTGTTGCTCATTACCACAAACTGCAGTCCATGAAAAGCTTTTAAGGTCCGGATCATTTTCCTTCTCCTGCCTCCTGCCTGTGCCACACTATCCCTATTTAAAGCAATTTTAGGTTTCTTCTGAAGTCACCAGCATCAGAGATATTCATATACTCTTTCAGAGAGCCAGGTGTAAATGGAGTAAATAAAATCACGTTTCTCTGTTGCTTTATCAATCCTCCTAGGTAGTTTTTTCTGCCAGCCAACCTGCACTGTTAAGACCCATAAAATTATGCAATAGCGACTTCTTTGGAGCTTCTCTAATCAGATAATGGCAGGTGTTAGGAGAGCAGGGCCCAAGGCAGTGTTGCTAGCACTTAACACTGTGGTTGGTCATTACTTGTCTGGTAGAGACCAATAAACAACTGATTACTATCCTATAAGGAGCCAGTATTTTACATCTATCCTAGTTACTTTTTCCTTTTCTTTTTGACTTCTTATAACAGCAAGTATTTGTCAAGAAGATCTATGAGAAATAGCCTCACAGGCATCTTAAAAATAAGAAATTTCCTAGCACAAAATGATGACTTTTGTGGAAAGCTGAGAATGATCCTGATTTTTACAAGGAAGGTTTAATTAGCTTAAAGTTCATTTGTTTCAGACATAGACACTTCTGGACACCATCCCCCACTGCTCCTCTCACCCTAGTCCCTTCTTGCCTCTATGGCAGGTTCACAGGCTGCAACCAAGGAGTTTTAAAATGCAAATATTTATATTTGAGCTCTGGCAATAACAGGGCTATTTTGCTTCCTCAGTAAACCTGTGATAATTGATGCTTCATATCTGGAGCTCGGTTTCATTTATCTCTTTACATGTGAAGATAGTATGTAAATAAAAGGTAATTTATGGAAAGGAACCGACCATTTGAAATAATAATCCTAAATTTGACGGGGTAATCTCTTAGGGGTGGAAGAATCAAGGCAGCAGAATTCTAAACTTTTAAAGAAAACTTGATTGCAAGTGGAAAACTTGGAATCTGAAAGCCTGCACTGGCTTAAAGGAGAGAGAGAGAGAGAGAGAGAGAGAGAGAGAGAGAGAGAGAGAGTAAGCAGAGAAAATGTGTGAATTTTACATCCATTTTAAACTAATGCTTTCAGTCGTGTGTTTAGGGTTCTTGCTATAATGTTATCGATTTTATATTTGAATATAATGTTTTTACTAACAAAAGCAACAGCAAGTCTTCTGACATGCTCTTCCTCCCCAGGGCTCCTCCGCTTAGCATGAACAGAGGCACACCCATAGGAACGAGCCTGGATTTCACAGCCTCATACCAGCCAGGCAATTCTTGAGCCAAACAAACAAAGGGGGGTGTAAGTGATTTCATTTATTTTGATAATCCTCCTCCTGCACAGGAGCATTTTGCTGTCTTTGTCAAAGTGAATGACAACAATTTGGCCAACTCTCTCTGAGCTGCACTCAACAGTGACAGGCAAATTATCAGAGGCCCTGCACTTCTTATTATCAGCGGAGAAGCCATCAGGGGGACGCATGGAGGATACTTCTCCCTTGTCACTATTTGTCAGTGGGACAAGGGCCACTGCTATGGGTAGCTGACAGGTAATTTCAACAATAACAATTACTCCTATTACTGGTGTCATAAACAATTCGCCCAAGGCATGACAATAGCAAAGCTTTATAATTCAATGCCATATAAATAAATGCCAGCAGGTAACAAGTAATTTAGTTCCAATCAAGCTTTCACCTTGGCATTAATATTGTTATTGCAAGAAAATGGAAAATTGAAAAAACACAATATGTTAATGAATTAAGAGAGGTGAAAGGGCTCGACAAGAAGGGTTCAAAAAAGAAAATCCAAATTTTTATGGTATCATATTTGGTGACGAACCCGGGAGCAAATAGCAGAATAATTACTTTAAGACAAGAATGGTGAGCCTGGAGGGCTGCTGCCTTAGATTCAGACCTGGGAAAAATGTGACACGACCTTTGAGAAAAATCTGCCTCTTTCCAATTTCTGAAGACTATATGTTGAAATACAAGAATGTCTACATAACGTAGCATTTCACTTGCTCTTTTTCCCGCCTGAAATATTTCATGACGCAGAGACATACGTAGAACAGGAACATTTCCATCTGTTTAAGGAACCCTCATCAGCACCTGCTTCCTTTACCTGAAGCTTTATAATGCAACTATTTTAATTAGCCTTTTGCTTGTATCTGGGGAGGAGGTAAAGCTAACAGTCATCTTTGCTCTCTAGATTTCTCCCGATGGAAGTCGTTCAGGGCATACAGTCCGATCTTTGCATGCAAAACTTCCTGATCAAACCCATTTGTGATTTTAGTGTTTGTCCAGCAAGACAATGTGCCATCACGGTGACAGCAGTAAAAGAATTTGAAAATCTTTAATTAGGAGAACTGCCGAGCAATTAACGCATGTCAAATTTCACTTCATCAAGTGCCACTCTAATTTTCCCTCTAAAAATTAATGGATTTTTTTTCTTTTGGTATGTGTGTGTGTGTGTCCCCTTAAGGCAATGTTGATTCAAATCTGCTCAAGATTCAGTGTTGCACAGCTAAGCATCTTCTTGATTACACTCCGCCACACTCCTAACTGGCTCATTCTCACTGCCATGGATACTTTGTCAACAGTCAAATTACACCACGCTGATAACAATGCATAATGGTGTTCCTCCTCCGGGGCCCCTGTCAGGAGATGGGGTTCATAAAAACGTGATGTTTTCTCCCCGACTGTTTCGAAAGGAAGTTTGTATGACCAGGTCTCCCAACCAGGTGCTGTTTTTTTTTTTTTTTTTAATTAATTTTTTAATTTCAAGAAAGGAACAAAATGTGGCAGATGAACATTCCTTATGGGGGGAAAAAAAATCAGAGGAAGAATGAATCCAGAGTATTTGTAGCCAAACTTTGGCTTAAACACTTTGTTCAGAGACATTTTCAAGAGCACCATTCTTGGTCAAATACCAGATTTTTTTCTTTACTTACGGACTGTGAACATTGGAAGCGTCTCTTAAATAGACAGTATTTAGATTGTGTGAGAAGTTTGTTTAACTGCCATATTTGCCAGAATCCTCAAAACATCTCAGAACACAGAAGACAAATTACTTTTTAGGGAGAGTGAGGTGAGGAGGGGTCAGGACTGTGTATTCCAGATAAATGTTGATTCCCTTTAACTATTTTTTATCCTGTTTGTCTGATGCAGATTTGTATGTCCGAGTCATCAGCACATGTGAGGTGTATTTCTCACTAAAAATTGAAAGGAAGACAGTGCAGAGATTAGAACATAATTTTACACTGTCTTTTAGAGATTTTTATTTTGTTTTGTTTTTTTTAAAGATCTAATCCAGAACAAAAATGAAGAAATTAAACCAAATGGTAGATGTATCTCTTTACACATTCTTCAGAGTGGAGAACATTCACTTGGATTGATACCTTAGTTTTTTTTAGCATGCAAGTATATTTTTGATTATGTTTTCTTTAATCGTGTATATTCAGTAAAAGAATCTAGATTCATGGAATATTTCATTCTTTTTAATGTTCAGGTGAAGTCCAGTTTTACATTCACTGACAACTAACTCAAAAATTAAAACTTTGTATTTTGAAATTTGTGTTTCTAAACATTAAACCTCTTTTCCTTCCTCTTATGGCCCTATCCCAGCATGTTCTTAAGTGGTCTGTTTCAAACAAAGGAAAATGATAACACTTTCCTAGTAGCCACAAGGTTAGATACCGTCAAAGCCAATTAGGAGCTCACTAGAAGTTTTACAGGTTAGATTCACAAAAACAAAATTAACTTCTTTTTTTCCCAAACACCCTTCTTAAACTTTAGAAATAGAACAATACTGGGCTTACACTTTCATATAACTCACTGACAAGTAAACCTATTTTGATAAAATCAAGCCCTGCGTCTTTTGAAAAAAACTGGAACAATCTTGTATTAAAACATTACAAGAAGATTGTAAAGGGAAATTTAAGGAGAGAAAACTTGATTATATAATGCAATCCAGCAGTAATCAATTTTACCTTCAATATCTTGCTTTTGTTTTCAAAATGCTAAATAAACAATACATAATGCATCCCTCATCAGCCAAACCATGGAGGCTCTGCGCTCAAATAACAGGAAACATATTCAATTTTCCTAACAGAAGACAGTTCATTAAGCTGTGCCACATCAAATAAAACTTTAATTTCTCCAGCATCAGAGTCGCAATGAAAGCAATTGAAGAAGATGAGCCATATGGTACTTCTATCAGCAAACACATATTGCTCATTCCCCCAAAGTTTTCTAATTCTGCTCCCCAGACCTGTGTAATATAGATAATGTGCTCCGAGAGCAGCAACCATGAGCTATCTAGTGTACACTTCTAATACTGTATTTAATGGGAAATAATGAATCATAAAAGCCTGGAGAAGACGGCTTTTGCTAACCTAAATCTCAACTGTAATTTCATTGTTCTGTGCCTAAGATGCTGTTTGCCCTTTCAAACAACAGCAGTTGAACATAATTATGCTGCTCCAAACCTGGGCTTGAAAACGCAGCCTTAATATAACCAAGTTTCTATTAACTCCTGAAATTCTGAATTTAGTGATTCACTGATACAGACATTGAGATAGCTGAGCACGTGTGTTTCTAAGCCCGAATAAGCATTTTTCTCTTTGGTCACACCGCTCGATGCTTTTATGCTCCCTCCGCCCCCTGCTTGGCCCCCCCAACCCCCACCCCATCCCATGCAACAGGAGTGGTATGATTAAAAATGAGCTTTTCTTGTTATTAGCAAATTTGACATTTGCCTGATGAAATGCACATAAAGTGTGAAAGCTATACAGTGCTCAGAAGAAATGTCCCCACTCTAATCCTTGCCACCAAGATGAAATAATTTAGGTAAAGGAAATGTAAAGATCCTCATACATCTCAGCTCAGAAGGCTAGGATTGTGTTATAAATGAAAGAACCAAATATTGCTGAGCTTTAGAGGGATAGTGTTTTGCCACATGTGAAGTGCATAATGTTTCTTTTAGACCTTAGCTGCTTTGCCTAGTCACCCAAACAAAATGCATGGCTCCGAAGTGACACTTTGTGTGTACCGAGCCCAGTCATTTTCTGGTAAGATCTTTAGATGAAGGCTTTGTTCATTTCTAGCAAATAGGGTTCGTTCACCCCCCCCCCATAGGTTGCTGATTTCAACTTTTCCATTTTTAAAGCTCATCAAATCAATATTTTACCAACATGATGCTAATTTAAAACATCATCAAATAATACTGTGGATACATATTGAAAACATATTTTAATGGTTTTGTTTGTTTTGGAATCATATGAACCAAGGACGATTAAATTAAAAAGAGACTTTTAAAAGTTAGAGATTGCCTTTTTAAAGCTTATTAAAATCAGCATGTTACATGCCTGTCTCTGAATTAGCTCTGCACACTTGATTGCCATCATTAAAACTAGTTGTTTGGGTGCTGCATGAAGCCGACTCTTACTAATTATTAACTTGAAATCTCTCTCCATTGAAATTGGAAAAAAAAAAATAAGTCCAACCAGTGGAAGAAACCGTCACCGAAATGTGAAGCAGCTCAGGAAGACAGCAACGTTAAACCACCAAAAGACCAACAGGTAAAATGGTTACAGTAACATCTAAAACACACTCAGGAAAAAAAAATCACAACAACAACAAAGAAGCAGTCCATTGATTATATTTCATGAATGCCTTAAAACAAATGTTTAAACAGTTTTCTGAAACAGTGCAAAAAGCCTCTGCATGTTCCACTGGGTCGCAATGACAATGCTCTATTGCAATGTAAAACACGCTGGAGGATAAAAAGGTGCTTTTTGTTACCATTTTATCAAAGCTGTTCATCTTCGAGCTGCAGGCAGCATTTTGCT